TGACTGAAGTATCAATGCCCCTAATCCATAAAGAATGCTATAGCCCTAGGCCAGTGGTCAGCAAACTCATTAGTCAACAGAGCCAAATATCAACAGTACAACGATTGAAATTTCTTTTGAGAGCCAAATATTTTAAACTTAAACTATATAGGTAGGTACATTGTTATTAACTTAATTAGGGTACTCCTAAGCTGGCCTTTGCTAAAAATGTCCTCAGTCTGATTGAGGTACGTTGGCTGAGGTCGACCCCTTCCAACTCTCCCATCCACATTCGTCTTGTATACTTGTTTCGTCTATCTCCTTTCCGAAAACCGACTTCTGCGCATGGGCCACCGAGTTTCAATCGCACTGTACCTGCGCGCCCGCACGTGGTATTTTGTGGAAGAGCCACACTCAAGGGGCCAAAGAGCCGCATGTGGCTCGAGAGCCTCGGTTTGCCAACCACTGCCCTAGGCGGTTTGGCTCAGTGGATATAGCGTCGGCCTGCAGACTAAAGGGTCCCAGGTTCAATTCCGGCCAAGGGCACATGCTCAGGATTCGGGCTTAATCCCCAGTGTGGGGTGGGCAGGAGGCAGCCAATCAATGATTCTATCTCTCTCTCCCTCTGAAATCAATAAAAATATATATTTTTATAAAAGAATGCTATAGACTTGAGATCTGAACCAGGACAGAAAACAATCGCCCTTGAGGTTGCCTGCACGAACCATCTGCCTTGAGTTTTGATTCCTGCTTGATTTAGATGACAGGATATTTCCCATGCAGAAGGAAAAAAAAACAAACACAGGATATTTAGAAATGATTACTATTTGTAGTCCTGTTTGTTACTCTCACTCTTCAAGGGATAATGGTTACACGACATTACTCCCTTAGTAAAGGTATTTTTAAGTGTGTGTTATGGTAGAAAGTAAAACTGCCACTAGTTGGACTAAACACTCCAGCATCTCCTGCAAAACTACCAAGGAGTCCCTGCAACTTGCCAGCTCCTCGCTGGATCACTAGGCTAGAAATGTTCTCAATTCCTTCTCTCCTCGTGGCTCAAAAAGGGGCTGGGAAAAGAGTGAGCTATTAGTCCCATGACAAGTCTCTAGTGCATCTAGTAATGAGACTGACATCCCATTGTTCAGCCAATGCCCACAGACTACAAAAGTATTTTTCATACCCACGTCTTCAAAAACATTTGAGGCAGCAAGTGAGCCCGTTGGGGATAAGGACTCCACAAAATACAATTATTAATTAACGCTGTACACGACTTAGAGCTGACATCCTAGAGCAGGGGTGGGCAAACTTTTTGACTCGAGGGCCACAATGGGTTCTTAAACTGGACCGGAGGGCCGGAACAAAAGCATGGATGGAGTGTTTGTGTGAACTAATATAAATTCAAAGTAAACATCATTACATAAAAGGGTACAGTCTTTTTTTTTTTTAGTTTTATTCATTTCAAATGAGCCGGATCCAGCCCGAGGGCCGTAGTTTGCCCACGGCTGTCCTAGAGTGTATAAGCTAGTAGTTGGGTTCATGAAATGAGTACAGCTGTGATTCACAGTCCCCTCCTAACAGAAGCATTCTGAAGACAGCCTACATGCTTGTAGCAATCCAAACAACTCTTCATATAAAATTAATTTGGTTTAAAAATATAAGCTACGTGCCATAAAGGGTTACATTGATTTCAATCCATCCCACCTTCCTTCACAGTGCCAGGGTTTATAAGAGAGAGAATGTGGCATTCTTAAACTACTCCATCAAAGAGAAGGAAGGTTTGAGAAGCAAGTGAAATTTAAAGAGTCAATTTTCAGGGGGCCTTCATTTTGAGAGTTGGGCTATTTTTGTCCTTGTTTTTAGAAGAAAATCAGCCCCTGCTTCTATCCCAAGCATTTGTGAAGAGGACAGCAGGGACAACACGGGCACAGCTGTCCAATTTACATTCACAAATGCAGGTGTTGCACAGACACAAAACAGAGGTCAGCTGAATCCTGCTCCTAATTAGCTACCTTTTTCACAAGGATTTTCCTTTGTGAAGTTATGCATGCAATTTGGGTTCAACTTAGAGACCATTTTTAGATCCCAGCATGCTATCCACTAAGAAGCGGGCTGTCATTATAAAGCATAATTTACAGCATAGTTAATTTTACATGTGTTTTTTTTTAAATCGACATCATACCTAAGGCAAAATTCTGTTCTGCACACACATTATTCACTCTGTTTTCCATCCACTTCTCAATATTTAAAAGTGTAGAATTTAGCCAGAAAATCTTTTATGTAGGAATGGGAGAATTTTTGCCCTTTTTCTAAGATTAAGAAAGTCCGCAATTTTAATAATGAGGACCAAAGACTTTGTTAAATGATACAAGAGAAGTAGCTATTTGCTATTGTCTTCAGTGGGGAACACCCTGGGGCTGATTATAGCAGTTCTTATAAATGGCAGGATGGAGACTGGTATCTAATACAATCCATTAAGAAACCCAAGCCCTAAATGAAATGACCACAAAATCCTATCAGTTCACAGAAATGCAGCAGCTGTACATGTTTATTGTAATACAATAGGATATTGTTACAGAGATAACACTCTTAAAATAAAATAAAAAAAAGAACCCAGCAAGTGATGTGACCAGTTTATTTCTCTATTTGAAAAACGAGAACGTATATAGTGTGGCAGAGCTTTTGATATAAATAAGCATGAAGATTGCAGAGAAGACAGGCATAGTATGTACACTAATGGGCTGCTGGGATCAGCTGGCAAACTTCAAGCCACTGTGACGCCCAGGTTTTGCAGGCTATTCAGAGACCTACCCAATAACCCTGCAAAAAGGGGAAGGGAATGCTGCTCCTCCAGCTGACGGAGAAGTATTCCACATGCTAATTCTTAGCTTGGCCCCCAGTTACCCAGTTTTCAAAACTGTTTGCTATGGAAGTTTGACCTTAAACTTTACAATGATGTAATATTACATATGACTTATAGTGATGTAAATTTATATATGGTATTATTATATATGGTATTTTATATAGATATATTTAGACATATGTAGAATATATATATATATACACACATATATATAATTATATATAGAGAGATATAGATATAGATAGATTATTCTAGGTTGTTTTCCAATTGGGTCAGGTGCCTTCCTTCAAAGGCTTACTAAAGTGAAACCACTTTGCAAAGTATAACAAGTATCACCAGGATTGTAACAAATTCATCTTGCTGGATTTTATTCACTACAGGCAGTCTATCAAGATTCAGACCCATAACCTTTCAGAATGATAGAAAGACAAAAAAACAACAACAACAAAAACTGTTCTCCTGCCATCTTCTAGGGTGGAATGCAAAGTATTTTGTTGTGGTAAGTAGGGCTTTGAAGACAAAAGTGCTGGGGCCATTCCTGTGATTGTTACCCCAGTGTTCAGCATGCAAAAGGGGGGCCCCAGGGTCTCAGAGATCATTTAATCCCCGTATATTAAAGCAAACCATGTCTCCATGCACTGCTCTAACCACCCTCTTCTGAAGCTTCCTTGCTTCCCAGCCCCCCTCCCCAAGGGAAAGTGAACTTGACTGGTGACTATCCCAAAAGAATTGCAGTTTCTTTACTTGCCTTCCTGTTCCAGTGAAGATTATGAGCCTAATTCTTAGAGACTGCTACTAAATTCCACCCTACTGAATTCTGCAGCCTAATTCTTTCAGCGTTATGTTTTTTGGCAGAATGATGTGACCCAAATTTGCAGGAGATAATTTGCTGCAACAGTGCTTCTTGTAATGCAATGAACCCGAGATGAGCATTTCAGGATTGCAAATATCAGACTTAAAAATAATAATTATTTGCTTCAAGAAAGGATAGGTTTTGCTCTTTCTTGTATTATGGAAATGGAAATGCTCAGCAAAGTGTAGACAGTTTTATGAATTAAGGAAGCTTTACAAATCAATGGAAATAATCAAGAACTAGCAATTTACTTCAGTAATTGGTGGCAAAATGCTATAGAAGTTCTTTAAAGATTAAGAAATTAGCTGTGTGTATGTGTGTGGGGGATTGTAAAACCATCATGCATTCCATTTCCCATTAGTGGTGGCTAATACTATTCTTTAAAATGACATTTTCAAATCTGAGATGTCTTAAAACAAACAAACAAAAAAAACCAAATATATATATATTCACAATGCTTGGCTATGTGAGCAATGCTGGTTCATGTATTCATTCTTTCACCTTTTCTCAATATCAATCAACTTTAATATAAGGTATCAAGAGAGACTTGACGTGTTTCTTGGTTAGAATTTGTGGATCGGATTTTGGAAAGAGCCAGAGCAATAGTCCCATTGGGAGCAAGTCTTAAACTGAGTGCACTAAAGCTTCCTGGCCATGCATGGCCTGTGGCTAGTTCCTCAGGAATCTCTACCACTTATCTTGCCAGATTCTATCTGCGTGTTCTCCTGCTGGGGAGTCCCTGTCACTTAGGGTACCAGCTGTGATCTCCGTGTCCTCATCAGATTCATTCACCCTCTCAGAATTCAAACACCAAGACCAGAGAAACTGAAGAACAGGTTATTATATACATTAGAGGGGATCCCTTATTCCAAAAGGTTAAGTATGACAGAGAAAGAGAACAGAAAAAAAAAAACAAAAAGAATAAAAGGTGCGCAGTGTTTTCAGCGAGGCTAAGAGGCACATGCGCACGTGGGCTGGGGAGGCCTGCGGGGGCCGCCTCTCTACGTGCTCTTACCTTGTTTCTCTTGAAGTAGGCTCGTCGGCAGGCCGCAAAGCACTTCTCGTGTCCTCATCAGATTCATTCACCCTCTCAGAATTCAAACACCAAGACCAGAGAAACTGAAGAACAGGTTATTATATACATTAGAGGGGATCCCTTATTCCAAAAGGTTAAGTATGACAGAGAAAGAGAACAGAAAAAAAAAACAAAAAGAATAAAAGGTGCGCAGTGTTTTCAGCGAGGCTAAGAGGCACATGCGCACGTGGGCTGGGGAGGCCTGCGGGGGCCGCCTCTCTACGTGCTCTTACCTTGTTTCTCTTGAAGTAGGCTCGTCGGCAGGCCGCAAAGCACTTCTCGCTGCAGAAGCTTTTCACCTCACTTCCCATACTCAGGGAATAGCGCTTGATCCCCACTTTCTGGCACCAGGCACACATTATTTGTACATTTGACACATCATCTTCTATAATAAAAGTATAAGAAAAATGTTCATATCAGAAGCAAACATCCCTTCAAACTTAGTCACACCCTGAACCTGAAAGAGCTACCCGGGGTCTGATTTTAATCTCCGCACCTCACCGTGGTCTGACCTAGGAGAATGGCCAGCTCTTGGGGGGAGGGCTCAATGCTTTTTTTTTTCTTTTTCCTTTTTTTCTGTTGGCTTTTAAGTTTCCAAAGGCATCATTTACTTAAAAACCAGAGCATGACTACAGAACCATGAGAGTTCCCGGGGCTGCTTAGCCTGGTAAAAATGCTTATTCTGCCTGGTTATACCAGGCTCAGTACTAATGAAGCTTGTAGAATGGCCCATTTGTTCAAAGGTGCAGCTGACAGCCTACAGGATCTACATATGGGGGAGGACAGCACATCCACATATGTGATGACCTAATGTGAACCTTGACAGTCAGGAGTCAGGACCGATCTTGGCATGTTCCCTATTACATGTTACATATGAAGTGTTGTTTACTTTTGCAATATAATGAGTCCCAAATGACATGGTTAGTCAACAACGGAGAGATTGAGTGGCCAGATTCTGCTGATACAAAGGCAGTGGCCTGGCTCACTCGGTGGTCTCCTGTGATGCAGCCTTTCCACATGGGGTCCCAGATAGGCGCAGGCCTGATTGAAATTCTTCTCCATGAGATGTGTGTGATTCATGGTCCCTGGATGGAGGAATAGTCATGGGGTGTCAGCCATGAGCTCTGAGGTCACACGGCTGCCCAGATCACTGTTAGCCAGACGGGTGGTCCTCACAGCTCCAGGAGGACCTGTCGCCCACGTCATGGGGATGCTCAGAATGATGTTAGGTGATATGCAAATATTTTCAATATTTAAAATGCTGTATTTCTTTTCCTTTGTAAGAAAAGAAAACAAATTTAAGTAGTACAAGTCCATGACATCACAAATACTACTGCTCAAAACAAATAAAGACTTTTAAAGTGAGCCAATAAATGAAATGTAATAGTAATTACAGTGCAGGTAGCAAGATGTTAAGACAAACACGTGATGGTGATATTCAAATGACTGAAGTCTGGGAAACTTTTGTGGGGGACTAAACGTAGACCTTAAGTACAGGTTGAAGAAATATTCCCTTGCTATCTCCTATGTGCTCTGGCTATATCTCGAGTTTCCTTGGTCCTCCCAAATGACAAAGTGTATCTGACTGGTTGCCACTATTAGCCACATCTCTTCGTCCTTTATGAATTTTTTTTTTGTACTAACCCAGACTCATGCTCCAGACATGAATGGTAATCACAAAATCCCCAGCAAGCTCTGGTATAGTGTTGTCTGATTCTGAGTAAAATCCCCCAAAGACTAATTGCTAAGCAAGGCCTGGTCCATGAGCTGTTGACATATTCATGGTTCATAGAACCTGTCATGCAATCATTCCATTTCCAGGGGAAAGATTTGGTTTGAGGCAGTGCGGTCATCAGCCTGCAAAATTAGAAGCAAACTAATTTGAAGTGCGGTGATACGGCTTTTTTCCCTGAGGATCACCACTCAGAACCACGTGCAGCATTTTATTTACTTTAATGGAATATTGCCATTTTAATCATCATTTTATTTTACAATTATATATTGTGATTTATTATAAACTATAATAAATGAGACAGTGTAACAATGACCTTTGATGCTAATCAAACATTTTCGATAACATAAGTTTCTTTAAATGGAGTCAACATGAGTTCAAATATCATACAATGACTGTATTTAATCATTTGTTCTATTCAAAGAAAGCTTTGTGTTTTATGTCATCTCTAATATGGCATCTGTCTATAGACATTGTACATGTATGAAGAATTAACAAAACTCCATAATTTACCTTATAGTACAGAAGGGTTTTTAAATTAGATTAGAAATGTTATACCTTTTAAATAATCATCTGTCATTACTAAACTCACTAGCACTAATAGTTTCTGATTTTTCCCAAGCAATTAGCTGCTTTATAATCTTAAATTCCTGAAAAAGAAGATGATACAGCAGAACTCTCACAAATGATCCAATGGCAATAAACTTGATTCTGGTGAAATCTGTAAGGAAAAATACTTTATGCGAGAAATTATTTGGCCTCAGCATTCAAGAAGGAACTTTAGGACATACGTTAGGTTCCCCTCATGTTTCTTCCATTTAAATGATCTAAAACTGAGATGGCAGAGAACAGAGCACAAAGCTGCAGCAGGGGCGGTGCTCAGCCTGCCCAGAGGAACGACACTTGGGACAAAAAGGCTGCTGGTGGGTCTTCCTCATGCTTCATCCATCAACACCAGTCAGACCATTTGTCATTTTTTAAGGGAGGCAAGGATACTTTCTTACAAACAATAGACCTAACAAATAGACAAAAAGTAGAATTTTAAAGCAGATTATTTTTATAAATCATTTGCCCTATGAAGTAACAACACGGGAAGATGAAACAAAAAAAATTGCGTATGTGGAAATTGGAAATGGTTAGCATCTGCCTTGTTAAATAATTCAGTATTCCCATCCGTTTTTCATAAAACTCCGCTTCATAAAGGCAAACACTTTGGAAAACTTCCATGAGATTTCTCTTTTTCTGTCATCAAACTGTTATCAATAGCTAATGCTCCAAAGAAGAGTCTGATAAGTGGATTATTCCACAAGCTCAAGAAACATTTTTACATGTCTTAGGTATTCTAGTCTTACAGAAGTCATTTTTATTAATAGTATATTTAGGAAACTAAGAAAGATCTGCAATTATATACATTAATTTTCTCAGCTAAAACATAGCCCAAGATTCTGCCACCAGACATGAGATGGTATCCCATCTTAAGCAGTATGACTGCACCCCTAGAAAAGTGAGATTTTCTTTAGTGCTGAACCCTGGAACTTATGTACATGCATCATGTTGGCAAAATAGAAGGCCCCAGCACTTCAGCTTTTCTAACTTTATCTGCTTCAAATTTCTTTATTTAAAACATATTTCTTCAAACTAGGGAAAACCCGATTTGCTGTCTTATATTTAGACTCAAGGTCTGTGAGACTTTGAGACTTGAGATTACCTCAAAGAAGACTCATGTAACATATTTTTCCTTACTGCCATTAGCCTATGTATTTTTCATAATGAACAATGCAACAACAAATGCAAAATATTTATAGCATTAAATCACATTCCCAAAGTGAATAGTTTGTATAACATGATAAAAAAATTTTCATATGATAATGTCACATAAATATGCATCAGTCAAAATATGCATGTTTCAATTAATCATGAAGTTTGTACCACCTCTTTAGGATTTAATTAAGTAAAATGTTTAGGGCATTTTCTTTCCAATCTAATGTTCAAAGAACTATAGAAAATTATTCTATTTTACATCCCAGAAGGAGAAGTTCAGATTAATTACTCTGAGATGAAATCAAAATTGTGTTTGTTTATCACAGTGCAGAGAAGTATGATGTCAAGCATTTCTGAAATACCTTGCTGCAGTTGTTAGAGAATTGCACTATTTGGTGACTATTAAAAATAAGGATGGCCATTGGCCAGTGGCATTCTCAGGGCATTTGAATTGGCTATGAATTTGCATATTAGCTTACCTGACCAGAGCCCAAAGACAAGCAGGAGGGCCTTAATGGACCCCAAGTGATTAAACTGTAGATTTATCATCCCTTTGTAGTTTTCATGGGAATCCAAGACTGAGGGGGGAAATCTGAAAATATTTGCTAGTGATGTTTTTCTCCAATAATTCCTAGAATGTACATGTCCAGATAATCATTTCAAGACTTGAATCATATTTGAAGCAAGTTACAAGTTAGTCTGAAGTGACTCCTGTGAGTTCTCCATACCATGAACTAGAGCTATGGTACTCTGTCAAACTATTTCTTGGAGCAGCTATATTTAAGAACAAAATGAAGACGTGGTCTGGAAGGCAGGAAACTAGGGTTAAAGTTTGCTGTTTTTCAGCCCTTTTTTGGAATAATTCAATTTCAAAAACTCTAGGGAAGTCCAATTTAAAAGTTTCCACAGAATCCTATAGATGCTTCTGTACAATTTCCTGTGTTCTAAACATGAACATTTAAGGATACCCAAAGAAAATTTGAACCACTGAGCCAAAAAGAAAATAATCATAGCTAGCCTTATTCAGTATTTAGTAGGTGCCAGGCACAGTGCAAAATTCTTTAAATCCATCATTTAATCTTAATCACAACCACCACCCCCAGGCAGGTACTAACATTATCCCCACTGTGCAGACGGGGAAAGTGAGGTTTAGAAGTTAAGTAATTTGCTCCAGATAACACAACCAGTACATACCAAAGCCTAGATGAAGACCAGGCCATCTGTGGCCAAGCCCAAGCTCTTGACCACAACACCTTAAAGCACACAGCCTTTCTAAGCATGGGAGGTTGCACACCATCCACACAGACTTCCTTCTACAGAAAGGACAGAAAGCTGTCACAGGTTCTGCTACTTACACAGGACACTGTTCCAGGACACACTAACAGACAAAGAAAATGGAAACAAAAGGGTCAAAATGTCTTTGAGAAGATAGCTGAAATGTTACTCAATCAATATTTGTCCACTGACTTTAAAACAAAACAACAACAACAACAACAAAAAACGGTAAAGGCCTACAGTGCAAGCCTTTATGACTGTGGGACTTGAACTTTCTGCAAATATTCTATCTGAACGCTCACCAGCAAGTTCCACTTAAGCATTCAATGATGAGAAAGAACCAAGAATACCTGGATCGCAGGATGCAGTCACTCTACCCAGGCAAGCAATAGTCTTCCCAGCTTTCTCTTTTGTAAGGAGGGGGACCAACAGTAGGACATGGATGAGATTGACTTTCCATGTGGGTCAAGTGAGTAATCACTTACATTTATAATTTCAAAGATCCCAATAAGAATATCTTAGCTTCAAAAATTATCCCTCAATTGCTCACTAAAATTAAATTCTACTATTAGAGAAGACTTTATTTGACTAAATATTTCTTATAACCCATTAAAACA